TTAGATAATTATTTCTTTTTTTTCTCTCTTTCTTCTATTAATTGTTATTTATATTATTATCATTATTATTATTATTATTATTATTATTTTCCTTTCGATTTCTTTCGTTTGTGTTAAATTGTATCTTGATTGCTATTTTAGTAAATAAATAAATAAAAACTTGAAAAAAAGTATTAAAAAAAAAATAAAATAAAATTGAAATCAAAGTCAGATAAATTTAGTAAAGATTATTTTTATTCAATTCAATTCTATGGCTCAGTCGTAAAATAAAGAAAACAGAAAAGAATACAAAACCAACCACTGGTTCAAGGTTCGATACCCTTCTCGGTCAGCTTGATATCAAGCACCAGTTTCACAGTTTTGTATTTGCGAATATATTTCTAAAATAGAACAATTAGTGAAAATATCTTTTGGCGTACTTTATTAATATATCTCATCACTATAATGCAAAAATTTCATCAGATATAGATAATGATCAACCACTGGGTTGCAGAGATCATAAAATATATAAGTTTTGACGTCTGTTCAAATAAATTAAAAATATTAAAATAAACAATAAACAAACTTGGATTACCAACCAATGGTTCAGGGTTTGATACCCTTCTCGGCCAGCTTGATATCGAGCAGCAGTTTTACCGTTTTGTACTTGCGAATACATTTCTAAAATAGAACAATAAGTGGAATTATCTTTTGGGGAACATTGCTGCAATTTATTTTATCAGTATAATACAAAAATTTCATAAAATACACAATGGTCAACCACTGGGTTGCAGAGCTGATAAAATATATAAAGTTCTGATGGCTAAAATATTTTTTAGAAATTAAACAAAATGATTCAACACATGCTGAAAGTTTCTTGAATTATTCAAATCGGATGCTTAGGATTTCAAAAACTGCGTATTTGGTAGAAGGAAAAATATTTCTTGGAAATTAAAAAAAAAGATTCAACACAAGCTGAAAGTTGTTTGAATTATTCAAATTGCATGCTTAGTTCTTTCAAAAACTGCAATTTTTTGCACAGTTAGCTCTGTATCTTTGAAATGGCGGGACCTGTCTTTGCTAAAAACTAATCACCTCCTCTCGCAATCATTACAAATTGAATGTCTTTTAGATCATTCAAATCCGATACTCCGTTCTCTCAAAAACTTGGTTTGTATTTTCTGCCCTCTTTGCTCCGTATCTCCAAAATGGCTGGACCTGCATTTGCCAAAAACTAATCAGCACATCTCTCTATCAATAAGAATTGAATGCTTTTTGAATCATTCAAATCGGTTGATTCGCAAACGTGGACAAAAAATTGTATCCATACATACATACACACACACATCCATTTTTCTGAAGTATGCCAAAATGTTCAGAAACCTTCAAAACGTCGAGAAATGTAAAAAATTTCATTTTTGATTTTCGGTCCATTACTATATAACTACCCTACGGGAAGTTAAAAATTCAATGTTGGGAGAAAAATTATTAAGTAGTAAAATAGAAAATGAAGCCATATGCAGTTATGCTTGGAATTTTGAACAAAATTAATCTGAAATTAACAATTTAAGAATCTGAAAGGATACAAATCAATTTATACAAATATTATTAACATCATATATACTGTTATTCAGTTTTGCAGTCACCATTTAAAATTCACATTAACTAATTAACTAATTCTAATTATCTACCTACCAGCTCTCTGTCTATTACACCAAACTGTAAATCTATCCATGTATCCAATCATGTTTGCAGATATATTTTTTTTTATAAAGTTTAAAACATTCGGCAATAGAATACAAGGTCGACTATTCAGTATTAGTCATTTGCAAAACCAAATTTGTCTTTTATTTGAAATAGAATAGAATGTTTTAGTGACGTGATAAAATGCCAATATTAGAATAATTAGTAATAATGTTTTAAAAAGTATTTATTTATTTAAATTATTCATAACAATTAAAATAGATATCATAATACACGGTTAAAGTGGGGCAGTGGCTTATAGATAGTTGTAGTGATTAAAAGTATTTTAAAATAAAAATTTATTTTATTTTTTTATTATTGTGACATAAATAAGTGAAATTTTTAAACAGTTTCATTGTGATTTTATTTGTTTTTAAATATACTAAAGGGTATTTAAAAAAATAGTTTAAAATAATAATTAATTAATTCTTTCAGAGACAATTTGAAGTGAATTTCAGAAACTATAATATAAAATTATTATTGAAGTCTATAAAATTAATTATAAATTTTGTTAGTGAATTAACGTATGTTTTATTTTTATATATTTAAATTTTGTATATGAAAATTTTAAAACATGGTTTATAAAGGTTACTCGTTTCCAAACATTGATGATAATTATTTATTTTTTGTAGTATATGGCGTCATTGTTAGACAGAGAGCTAGTAATCAATATATATATATATATATATATATATATATATATATATATATAACAAAAGAATTCTGAGTGAATAGATATTAATTTAGAAATATGAACAAACAACACTCATTTTTGCACTATTTTATTAAATAATAATTTTCACAAACGTTTCGAGACTAGGTTTGTCTCATCATCAGTGTGTTATAATTTAAAATCTAAAATATGGAAATCTAAATGAGCATTATGTGTTATCCGTTACAATTTTTAATTATAATAGTTTAAAACAATTATTTATAAACGAACCGTTTCCTTTCAAAGAAAAAGAGTACTTTTGAATTTAAATGCTTTTTAAACTCAAATAATTGAAAAAAGCGTTATAAAATGTTTTTCTCGTTTTTCTTCACTTTTGAGAATTTGTTACAAAATAGTAATATATAGTTAAAATAAACTTTTTGGGAGAATTTTACAAAAATGCTGTTTTAAGGTCTATTTTGGTATAAATTAGTACCAAACACTGTCAAAAAGCTATGTATTTGCCGCCTATCCGGCGTTTTACACATAAATCCTAACCTACAAAACGCACAAACGTTAACAATTTAATCATAAGTGCAACTTTGTGATGTCTCATTGATAACACGTACGTGAAGTTAGGTTTTATGAGTGAAACCCCTGCAGCAAATTAAACTTGAATTAAATTAAAACAGCAAAGTACATAGATTTTTGACACTCATACGAATATAGACCCGTAACATATCTTTACCATAGCATTTCTATTTTATCCGAGAATTGACTCTGATTATATGTTAATAAAATTAAAATAATCCTTTTGAGAAAAAAATTTTAGGATAATTTTTAAGAGAAAATTTGGTTAATAATTTTTGTTTTAAGTGAGTACTTACATATATATTTATGATCCTTGAATCATAGAAAAAAAAACTTATTCTTTTAAATAAGTCTGCATTTTAACATACCACTAAAACTACCATATATTTTTAATATAAATTGATATGATATAAACAATTTTTATACCTGTTGAGCTTTTTTAATTTAAATGAACATTTTTTATCGATTTTTGAAGTGTCAAAATTATGATTTGATTTTGTTATAACTAGAAATTTAATTATTTATATTATCAAAAATTTATATAATTTTCAATTAGAGCCAAAATATTTATATTAAAAAATTTAAAAAGATGTGCTCCGATGTAAATAATTTCCCTTCAAATAAAATAATGAATAATATGTTTTTTATACCCAATAGGTGTCGTTTTTTAATAAATAAAAATATAATAAAATGCGGATAATATTATAAAAACATAAATAAATATTTTAAATACAAGAAGAACAAATTAATTGTGAACAAAAATGGAAAAACAGTATTTGGTGTCAAATGGAAGCCCTCGAGCTCGAGGCTATAGTACATTAGATGAAGAAAATTCGATCGAAAGTGAAAATTCGATTGAAAGTGAAAATTCTTTGCAGGATTTCGAAAAACAACGTACGTAATAATTGTTAAACTATCATACTTAACAATTATTTAATTACAATCAATATTATTTTTATGCTAATTACATTTAACTCTATTAATATTATTAATGTTGCAATAATAATTTTGTAAGAATAGTAAAGTTTAGTCAATCATTAGACACAATTTATATTGCACACATTTTTGCTGATAATTATTATTTTTATTTATGGAAAATGTTATACTTAAACATATTTATATATAGTTATTTTCTTCGATAAAATAAATAATTCAAAATTTAGTAATGATCAAAATATAGAAGTTAATAGAGTATGACTAAGGCTACATTATTAAAAAAAATGACTAAAGAAGTCTAAAAGTGTTTACTGCATGGGATAGCTATTTATTACTTTGCCAAGAATATAAATTAATGAAGATTATTATAACAATTATTTATACAAAAATATACACTTAACCCCTATACACACGACGTCAGTATTTTTTGTAACATATTTTCTGTCAAGCTTTTATAGTATGGTGAGCGTATTTAAACTAAAATATGACTCTAGCATTATATTATTATTATTTTATTTAATTATTATAAATATGAGATAACATAATAACATGGATATATCTTAATTCATATATGTTTTATGCTTGGATTCCAATAAAATAGTTTCTCTGTACACGCTCACCTAACGATAAAAACTTGACAGAAAATATGTTACAAGAAATATTGGCGTCGTGTGCTCCGGGAGTTAAATAGTTTTATAGAAATTAACGTTTACTTTGTCGAGTTTTTATCGTAATATGAGTAAAATACGACAAATTCTTATAAATTTGAGATAAGATCATCACATGGATTAATCATAATACATATATGTTACATTAAATACTGGCGCCATGTGCACCGAGCTTTATTGTAAATATACAATATGTACAAGTTTTTTACCCACGTCGAGACACTAATTTTTTTCAAACAGATGTATCACCTTCTTAATGTTGCAAATTGATACTCGTTTAGGGCGAATCTACACTTACTTTACTCTTCAATATGATTCCTAATTATAGAGTGGTAGTATTTCTCATTTCATTAGTTTCTTGCCAATCAACTTAAAATATGATTATCTGATTTGTTTTATGATGATTATTAAAATATTTTTTTTATTTTCAGGTGCAATTTTCGGCTATCGGCACCTGCAGGCCTTCCTGCTCTTTTTGTTCCTGACCGTTGCCTACATGATGAGGGTCAATATGTCCGTGGCGGTCGTCGCCATGCAAAATGCGACGGCGGTCAACCCCGATTTTGATGTAAGTGAAAAAAACAATACATTATCAGTAAAGTTCGATTTTGCAAAAATCACTAGTAATTGGTAATAGATTTATTAGAGTTATTGGCTTGATGATTTAGTAAAGAACCAATTGGTTCCAATATTGTAACAGAGTGAGTTTCCATAAAACCCTTGCACATGACGCCAGTATTTCTTGTAACATATTGTCTGTCAAGCTCTTGTAACATATTTTCTGTCAAGAAAGTGTGTATAGTAAGGCGGATCGATTTGTGTGGGTAAGAAAAAGTTACATAGGCACATTTGATTTTTGTATACTTGGGATCAAAATAAGATACTTTGCCAAAGAAACCATATTTCTAAAATGAATTCTGATCCCGTGCAATCACCCAAAGATTGGGTCAAATTTAGAAAAATCCTGTTTTGGCTCATTTAGAGCGCCTCAATAATGTCCAAATGTATGACCCCCAGTAACTTTGGAAGGCCGATCTACCCATGCCCATGGTTCACCTTTTGGGACCTTCCTTTAGAGGCCCTCCATACAAAAGTTGCATCATTTTGGGTACTTCAACATGACCAAAACCTGCGATTTATTTTTATTATAAAATTTATTTAATCATAAAATATGTAAATAAAACTATGTGAAACTCATAAACTGTTTGAAGTCTTTTTTAGTTTCAATTCTGGAAAATTTTGCACGGCTTTATAGTATCGTCGCCGTAACAGCCTCTAGCTGGCATAGAAGCGCAGAGACAAAATGCATTGGTAAAATTGAAACAAAGAAGAATTTTAATAAATTTTTTTTGTAAAAAAGTTTTTTGTGTGTGTATGAATTAATACCTGAAAAAAATATTTTTTGCTGAGTAAAATACCAAAAACGATTATTTTTTGCAATATTTGTATGCGAGACTTCTAAGCGGAAGTCTCAGGGCGTAAATCATAGGCATGGGTGAATCGGCCTTCCAAAGTTAGTTGGGGTTTGTTATACATTTGGACGCGATTTGAGCACTCTGAATGGATTAAAATGGAATTTTTCATAATTCAATCCCTATCTTGGGGTCAATGCACAAGACATCAGAATTCATTTTAGAGGTACGGTTTCTTCAGCAAAGTATCTTACTTTGATCCCTAGTATCCAAAAATTATATGTGCCTAAGCAACTTTTAAATCGACCCGCTCTTGTGTATAGTTACAAAGAGCATATAAAAAAATTACGAACAAAATATTTTGTATCACTATTAGGTCGGAAACTGACCAACCCATCTTCGTATAATCTACTTCAATTTATTTCTAAACATACAGTACCGAACATTACTAATTTTATTACTAGTAGGTACATTATACAAAGAACTGAAACAACTTAGTTTTTCATTATTTTAGGATTTCCCAGATTGGACAGAAACCCCTCGTTCCTTAATCCTGTCTTCCTTCTTCTGGGGCTACGTGGTCACACAAATACCAGCTGGTCAACTCGGTAGAAAATATGGTCCACGTGTTCTCATTCTAATATCAATGGTCGTTTGTAGTTTATTTACCATATTGACACCTATTGGGGCCAGATTGGGAGGATGGGAAACAGTGTGTGCACTGAGGGTGATTCAAGGACTGGCGCAGGTAATAAAAAAATAGATTACATACTTATGTACTTATTAGGTTGTTATAATTTGTCTTAAAACTGTAATTTAAGACAAAATGATTTATTTGTTGACTACTTGTAAATAGGAGTATTGGTTTTCAGGGTTTCTTCTTCCCGTCTTGTCATGCACTTTTGGCTCAATGGGCACCACCTGCAGAACGTGGACGATTGGCAACCTATGCTTATGGTGGTAAGTTGGTAAAAAAATAAAAAATTTCTTTTATTAATTATTGAACGATTTTGCCTTTAGAATATAGGATAGAATATATATTTAAAGTTTCCAATTAATTTATTATGAAAGAAATATATTATTGTTTTTGCTAATTTTCTATAGGTTGTCAACTAGTCCTTTTCACCCTATAATCAAAACTTTTTTTTTGTAATAGATTTATTTAGTAATCAGAAAAATTACAATATTTCTATAAGCTAAAGTGAGTGTTAAAATAAGATAGGATTCACTTTAGAAAATGTGCTAAACGTCATAAGTATTGGATAATGATCAGAAGAATAATCGTAACTAGATTCAATATTAAGATTTTAATGATCAATGCCTCTCACTATAAAAATATCTAAAAGGTCTGGATCTTTAGTAGGGTCAGAAGGCCAATATGTTGGACTACAAGTTGGAATAAAGTAGAGGTTATTTTGCCCTATGCCTGCATGAAGTATCTTACCTTTGGCTGTAGTCCATCTGGAATCCTAGGCAAAATGTTTAAAATTAAAGTCTTCATCAATGATTTTTATCTCGTGATAACAAATTTAAAGCGTGTCTGGTCTGGTTACTCATTATTTGCCTTCTACTTTAAAATAGCATCGTACAAATACAATTGATTATGTACTTGTTAACTTCACGAAGTTTATATTTTTATCAAAAAATCCGATTCGCTAATTTTATGTTTTCTCGACGTTTCAAAATCGACGTAAATCAACATTTTCTCAAAAATGGCTGGACCGATTTCAAAAATTTGAAAGCCATTCGATGCATCTCGATGAGGACTATCGTTTCTCTGTTTTGTCCGACGATCGGCCGAACTGTTTCTTTGAAAATCGCAGAGAAGGAAAAAAAATTCGTCCACGTTCTAGCCCGCAAGTCTGAACCGATTTTGAAAATTCAAAAATTGTTCGAAAGATATTGGATGGGAATCGATCTGATTAGTATTTGCTAAAAATCTGGGCTGGGCTCGGCTAGGCTGTTTTCTTGTAATAAAGTGTTAAATAATTTTTTTTCGACGATTTTCATGATTTTTTTGTGATGTTAGATACCATAGTTTTCTAGATCATACTAAAATATTACGGCTTTAAATTTTTTTGGCGTTTGGCAAAATTAGAACTTTCATCGATGTTTGTTCAGAAAAGCCTGAACCGATTTCAAAAATTTAAAAGACAATCGCTGTATTTTGTTGTGGATTATCTTTTCTTAGTTTTGTTCAGCGATCGGCCGAGCCGTTTCTTTGTCGTTTGGAAAAAAGTGTTCTACTTTTCGTCTACATTTAAGTTGATACTACCGAATCGATTTTAAAAAATCAAAAACTGTTCGAAAGATATTAGTAGGAAATGATAGTGATTAGTTCTAGGTGAAAACCTACCCAGCCGTTTTCTTGTAATTAACTGTTGAAAAACAAATTTAAGCCGATTTTTATGGAACTTGTTTTGGCGATATATATCATGGTCTTATAGAACTTACTTAATATTATGGCTTTACGACAAGTAGTAATTTTGAAACTTCATCAAAGTTTTTAAAAATTAGTAGTTTTTTTGACGTTTGTTAAAATTAAAATTAGACGTTTCACTTGGTATAAAGTTAGAGTACTTGGTCTTAATAAACATACTAAATCATTGAAGTCTTACGAAAACTGGTTCAATTAAAAAATTTTTAATTAACGTGTTCGTTCATTTTCAATTATGTGTAATAAATCCACTCGGAGAACTGTTAATAACTCATAAATTAATTTATTTTTTGTTGATTAAGTCGATTAATTACACATATCGAGAAGTTCATGTAACTTGCCTCAAGGCAAAATACCAATACCAACTAATTTTTTTATTGCTTAAGCAATATTTTTGATCTTAGAACACATATCAATTTTTCTGTTATCCCCAGGTTCTCAGTTTGGAACGGTATTAGCAATGCCTCTCTCAGGTCTCTTGGCAAATAGTTCTTTAGGATGGCCCTCAATCTTTTACGTAATTGGAGGATTGGGCATTCTTTGGTCGGTGCTCTGGTTCTTCCTAGGTGCCAACGCTCCAGCAGTCTGCAAGAAGATTTCCGAAGAAGAAAAGGCTTATATCCAAAGTTCTCTTGGACAAACTCTGGGAGACAATGATAAGGTAATAAATTTTAATATTGAGCAGTTATTTTTTACTAGTTTTGTAGTACTATATTATATTTTTTTAGGAAAAGATGCCCACTCCATGGGGTAAGATCTGGGGAAGTTTGCCCATGTGGTCTTTGCTGGTTGCCCATTGTGGACACAATTGGGGATTCTGGACTTTGCTCACAGAAATGCCCACGTACATGAATGATATTTTACTATTCGACTTAAAATCGGTAATTTTTATGATATTAATTTTAACACGATTTTTTAACTAAATTATCTAATGGTCCATATGCAAATTTTTCTTATATCGTGGCAATTAACAAGTTAAGTATAAATAAATATATATTTAAAAGTCTTCTACAAGCAAAAATAACTTTCAATAATAATTATATACACAGTCCAAAAAAATTAAATTACAGTAACAAGTTAATATTAAATTGGTCTTGAATTTCTGAATATTTTTTTTAGAGAAATTTAAATCTGAAAGAAAAATGTCAATGATAATCTAAGTTTATTTTGTGAATACAGGGTGTCCCAGTACTCAACGTCAAGCCGAAACTAAATTTTGCAATTGCATTTTAAAAAGTCCATAATATTCAAAGTACTTCAGATATTTTTTCAAAATAGTTACTATTAACCCGTTTCGGATTTACGTTGAGTTCTGGGGCACTATGTTAAAAAGCATGTTGCAAAAAAACATTATTTGTGCAATTATTGTAGATAATGCAGTTTGAAAAAAGATTTTTTCTTACAAGTTATCAATTTTAATTTCACTCTAATATTATAAATATATGTAGGTAATGCATTAATTGACATAGTTTTTTTTCCTTTTGATTCAGATGACTGTTTCTGGTTTTGTCAAACACTTTATACCATGTGATAAAACTAAATTATTCCGTTATCGATTTTATTAAAAAAACATTGTATTTTTCAACAGAATTCCTTGCTGTCAGCTCTTCCATATCTGATGATGTTCATTTTAGGATTAGTCTTCAGTTCTATTTCTGATCTGGTAATCAAGAGACAAATATTAAAAATTGGAACAGCCAGAAAATTATTTAATACAATTGGTAAGAAAATAATAGTTTATTATAATAATTAACATAATGGATTATTTATTTACAGCAGTAACAGTAATATATTAATAACAACAAAGAAAATAAGACACAGTTTTTAATATAAATTAATACAACATGAATTCAATTTTATTACAATTATGAAAATTCCATAAGATTTGTATATAGTTTATTGAGAAATTTATTTTCATGTATGAATAATATCTTATAATACTGTTGAGAAAATTTATATTTATAGTATAATTTACATGTTTTTAAAATCATGTGAAAAATTCATCCACTAAAACAATTTTAAATATGTTACTTTAAAATTGAAACATTACATTCATCAAAGACTGTAACAACAAACATTAATTTTGACACTTAGTGAGTAGGTTTAAATATATAGAGACCAGAATTGTCACTGACTTCAATTCTGAATGAGATTTGTTGATAAAATCAATATAAACATAATTAGTATATCTATTAGAGTTGAGTTGAAATGAAATCTAGTATCAAATGCATAATTTTTGTTCTACTTCCTAATTCATTTTTTACTAACTACTACTTTTTAATTTATTTATATATTTTATCTTCATATAATGTTATATGTTATAATTTTTAAATTTATATTATATTTTTATTTAATTTTTTAAGGTTTATGGACACCAGCTGTATTGTTAATTGGAGTGGGTTATGTCCCTCAAGATCAGTCCGGAGTCGCTGTTGCTCTTCTTACTGCAGCAGTCGGAATCAACTCCGGAATTTATTCCGGATTCCAGGTAAAATCTATAATTACTTTCACATATAAACCAGATTTGTACCTAAATTTAAGGAGCAAACGTCGTTACAACGAACATTTGATATATGATTTTTTTGTTATGTTCCGAACTAAAGTTAACAGTTTCGAATACATAGTTTGTTTTTAAGATATAAACACCAGAACATTTCGCCATGTTTGATGAATTTTTATGATTATAAGTCGATTGTAGCTCAGTGTATGTATAAAATATTTGCATTCTAACAAAATAATCTGAAAAGGTTAAGAAAAGTTCCGCGATACTTATTCGGAATTGTCCTAATTCAAAAACTGCATATTTCTATATATTATTGTGCAACTTTATTGAAACAAAAATAATAAAATTTATGAGGAAGTAGAATAAGAAATAGATAAATTCATGGATAACTTAAAATGTGATGATAATAAGAAATATTTCCTTACAATTACTATTTAAAATGACCAAAAGATGAAACATTTTGGCTTATTGACAGTTTTTTTTTAATTTCATTATTATTATATTTTACTACATTTAAATTAAGTATTATTCTTTAATATTGTGAAAATTATTATTTATCCAGTTAGGTGAAAAAATATTTTGTTTCTGAATTGAAGTGCAAAACCTATATGTTTAAGCAAATAGTGGTCATTTAATATTCTTCAAAAATTATTTATTTTTCTACTTTATAATATATTCTGACAATTCACGTATATTTGACTCTGGAAACTACATAAACCGTGTTTACATTAAATATACAATATTAAGTTTGATCCTTATAAAAATATCATCAAAATTTAGCTATTCTCAAATTTTTGGCTCTGAATATCATATAAGTGTAGCTTATTATTATATGAAATAATGGTATGATATTAAATAATTTTATATTTAAATTAACAGTAAAATTTCTATTTTTTCTTAGGTGAATCATATTGATTTGTCGCCCAATCACGCTGGTACGATGATGGGCATCACAAATGGGGCTGCAAATATTATTTCCATTATTGCCCCCTTAATTGTTGGCCAAATTGCCACAGACGGAGTGAGTAGTAATTTAATTATAATTATTATAGTTTAAACATTTTTATTATTTTTTTAACTACAATATTTGTTGAAACTGCTAAATAATATAACATCTAGCGATTTTTTGTAATTTTTCCCATTTATTTCTACAATCTAACTATATTTCTATAATTCAAAAAATGCTAAAAAAAATCCCTTAACAAAGTTCAGAAAGATTTATCAAAATCCGAATAATCGTTTAGGAGGAGTATCTGTACTTGATACATCATTACAGAAGAATTTTATATATAAGATGAATAATAATAGTAATTTAAAAAAAATATGAAAGTATTAACTATTTTCGGGGGTTTTGGGAATGATTTTTTTTATATTTTTATTTATTATTTTGTCAAATAATACAAAACTGTTAGCATAGGTAATAAAAAGAACAATTAAATAAAGTATACAATATACATAATAAGTAACAAAAATTAAAAAACTAAAGGAAAATAATAAAATGAGGTAAAAAATAAAAATATAAATTAAAAAATATGAATAGCATGAATATCAAATTTCTATCAGTTCTTAAAATACAGAAAATTTTATCATACAGAATAACTTGTTTTATAAACTAAACCATTGATGTAAAATGTGCAGCATGTTATCCAGGAGTAATTATTATAAAAATTTAGTAATAGATTTAGTAATTTATTTAGATTTTAGATTTAGTAATTAATTCGTGTATATTTTCATATATTCCGGAAACTAACAATATAAATTACTAATAATCTGAGAATTTTTTTACATTTTATTAATTAAATAATAAATACAAATGTTAATAAATCCTAAGCACATTTGCTTCTGATATATAAATTATTAACCATTTCTACTTGCAAACTGCAAAAATAATAAGTGGAAAGGGTTAATATTTAATTTTTTTAGTTAGTTCATTATTCATAAAATATTAATATATTTTTTTATCTTTTTAGCATTCCATTGAGCAGTGGCGTACGGTGTTTTTCATATCTTCCGGCATTTATTTTGTTGGAAATTTGTTCTTTTTACTTTTCGGTTCTGCAGAATTGCAACCGTGGAATGAACCGGAACAAAAAAGAGACTCAGGTGAATTATATATATATATATATATATATATATTTATATATATAAAACATTTACATAATCTCTCGTCATAATAACTAACAATCCTCATCAAAAATAATCAAAAAGTTTAGTTACATAAAAGATAGTTAAAACATCAGAAAACCTTTCATACAATCCTGAAGAACTAAATTCGAATACATAATTCCATAAACGTGTTTGTAAGTAAATACCCAAATATATTTAATTTATTTTGTTCATGTATTTATTTGACTTCTTAATTCTTTGATCATTTTAAATAATTAATCTATTAATCATTAATTTCATCTACCGGTTTTGTGTATAAGTCGGTCACAAAGTCATCATATGTTTGGAGCTAAATTGTCTATTAATTGATTTCATATTTTTCTAGTCTAAAGTTTTCATTCATTTTTCATATTCATTATCATGAGATTTTCACCCAAAACTAAATTTAGTTATTATTTTTCTCAGAAATCTCAAAGACAAGTGAAAATCACACCGCGCCTTCTCTGAGGTATTGAGCTAGTCAATTAAATTAAATCTAGGTTTTAGGTTTTATGTAAATAGTTAAATAATTGAAAAAAAAAACAATATTATTTATTTTAATAGTATGTAAGCTTTAAGGTAAGATGATATATTTTTTAATATAATTTTATAATATTATTATATATATTTTTAAATAAAAATTCAGAAATGACTTATGTATTATGATATAATTCAAATAGTATTGATATTTTCCTATATAAAAATTTTATATTTTTTTACCTTTTTACTAAATCCTATGTATTTGGGTCAAACTCGAAAAAATTATTGATAAGCATATGTGATGTGTTTTATCATACAATTTTCTAGATAACGGAATTAACAAATAAATTCATTACGTTTATAGTTGTGTCTACAGTAGTGATAAGACTTTTTTTAATATTTTGTTGGTGATATAATCAATCGAAATTTTTACCGGTTTGAACTAAAAAAGATATTTTTAAAAGATATGAAAAACCAGAAAAATTACGTCTTTGCACTAAAAGTTTTGACCAAGCATTTAATTTAATATAATTGTAAGAATTTTTTTTTAATTTATATGTTTTATATATATCTTCTTATATATAAAAATGGAGCTCTAGATAAAATGATCCTCTAAAACTCGAAAACGGCTAAACCGATTTGGCCAGTGTTAGTCTTGAAAAAATCGTGCTAATCAGTAGGTTGTCAAAAAAGGTGAGATATTATTTCAAAATCGCGTCGGAACTTTACATTTTTAATTTGAACATTTTTGTAGAAGCGTAATTTAAATAAAACAATGGACAGTGGCTAATACGTCAAATGTCAAACGTTTTTGGCAAATTCTGTGTAATTAAATTTATTTGAATGTGGCATGGGTTGCAGTGGATAAACCATCCATTTGATTTGTGTTGGTTGCCTCTTTCACCACACACTTCCACATTCATAATCAGTTACTTATTGTTTATACTAAATATTTTCTAAAAATGTCTCTTATGGCTAAACAAAAAATGTTTGCCGGGCCAGCTAGTAAGGAAAAATTCCTAAATTGATATATATATATATATATATATATATATATATATATATATATATTCCTAAATATAAATATTATGTCTCTCAATTCCAGAAATAGATTTCATGTTTATATTCAATTTAATCCAAAGTCTTGGCCTTGCTCCAGGTTACCTGAAATTAATTCGCGACAGAATCATAAATATTCGTCTTACTATTATTTAAATCGAAAATTAAAATAAGAAAAGTATTAACATAAATATGTATTTTTCAAAGTTTTTTGTACTATTTTTATATTTATTTTACGACAGTTAGTGCAGTAAACGGAGCGTTTTAGGTCTGAATTTTTTTACGGTGCTCCGAATTGAATGAAATTTTGGAATTAGGTTCATCTTACCCCCAAGTTCAAAAGTGAAAACAATTCGGGCTGCGCCATCACCCCCCGGGGGGATGACACCCCCTCTCAATTGTGTAATTACATTTTCTCAAAATAACGTCGGAAATCGATAGAAGAACTAATTATAAGAAAAAAATGCCTTCTATAATTTTTCAAAAAAACTAATACTTTTCAAGTTACTGGCCACTAAAGATTCATATATTTTTGGCGTTTACCTTCGTTTTTTTGCAAATATCTCCTAAAATATACATTTTAACGAAAATCATGTAATGAACAAAATAATGTCAATAAAAATCTTAATAAATCGGTATTACATAAAAAGTTCTAGGAAAAATATTAAGAATGATTTGATAGAGCAAAGTTGTTTTTTATTTCGTTCAAGATTTAATTGTTGTATTTAAAGCCATCTAGTGTCAAGGTTTTACATTTTATGCATTTCGGTGAAATTGGGTTTTATAGTGCTCAACATAAGCTTTAAAATGAGTGCTGTTACAAGTTTTTTGCGTGTAAAATGAGTGAGCTATCAAGCAAATAAGAAGCATGTACGAAGTTTTTTTCTTTTAAATCACATAGTTTAATGAGCGCCATTTCCACCAGAATCAAAGTAATTCATATTCCATATAGAATTCACTTCATTATAGACATCTTGATGAATTATAGCAGATTCACTACTTTAGTACAAACTATTTTCAGAAAACTCACGATTTTATAAAAATTTTTTTTGCCAATTTTTCAAAAAATCGAAATTATTTCCAATATATCTCAAAAGAATAAAAGATACGTATAAAAGCATATAGATAAAAATCAAAGGGATCTTTCTGGCTTATTATTGTTATTTATTATATTTCTTTCACACAAAAATTGACAGAGATATGAATGTTTAAGGACTGCACAGCCGCGCAAATTGTAAAAACAAGTTTTTATAAAATCGTGAGTTTTCTGAAAATAGTTTGTACTAAAGTAGTGAATCTGCTATAATTCATCAAGATGTCTATAATGAAGTGAATTCTATATGGAATATGAATTACTTTGATTCTGGTGGAAATGGCGCTCATTAAACTATGTGATTTAAAAGAAAAAAACTTCGTACATGCTTCTTATTTGCTTGATAGCTCACTCATTTTACACGCAAAAAACTTGTAACAGCACTCATTTTAAAGCTTATGCTGAGCACTATAAAACCCAATTTCACCGAAATGCATAAAATGTAAAACCTCGACACTAGAAGGCTTTAAATACAACAATTAAATCTTGAACGAAATAAAAAACAACTTTGCTCTATCAAATCCTTCTTAATATTTTTCCTAGAACACTTTATGTAATACCGATTCATTAAGATTTTTATTGACATTATTTTGTTCATTACATGATTTTCGTTAAAATGTATATTTTAGGAGATATTTGCAAAAAAACGAAGGTAAACGCCAAAAATATATGAATCTTTAGTGGCCAGTAACTTGAAAAGTATTAGTTTTTTTGAAAAATTATAGAAGGCATTTTTTTCTTATAATTAGTTCTTCTATCGATTTCCGACGTTATTTTGAGAAAATGTAATTACACAATTGAGAGGGGGTGTCATCCCCCCGGGGGGTAATGGCGCAGCCCGAATTGTTTTCACTTTTGAATTTGGGGGTAAGATGAACCTAATTCCAAAGTTTCATTCAATTCGGAGCACCGTAAAAAAATTCAGAGGTTATACCCTTTTTTCCTCTCCGTTTACTGCACTAAGTGTCAATAGATCAAGAACATTTTACGTTGTGGTATTTTTAACTACGTCACTACAAAACTAAATTGTGTAGGTCATCAGAAATGTTCTAATTTTAAACTATAAATATTTATTTAAAATGTTAAATCCATATAGTTTATTTTTTTTAACACCTACGCGGTTTATAAACTATTTATTAATAAAAAATAAATTTATTTATTATAATTTTTTTGTAAAGAACATTATTTAAATAGCTCTACAAATACCACTAACTAGTTTTGAAATTATAAAAATACTTAAATATTAATTGTAATATAAGTTATATCAATAATTAAAAATAATAGACCATAAAAATATAGAGGACGAATATCAATATATAGACCATAAACTACTAAGGGTAAAAATTTAAGGAAAAACTTTTAAATTTAAAAATAAAATTTGTTATTTTGCCCTACATTGCTTAGGAAATTTATCTATGCAAAGCCACAAAAAATAGATTTAGTTATACACTTATTATATTTTTTTTATTTTAGTATTTTCAAAAATTTAGAAACTAAGCAAAATTTAATAAATTATAGAACCAAATATTTAATCTTATAAAAGTGGGTCCAAGCATACAGCTCTGCGGAACACCTATTATTAAAAAAAGACTAAAAAAAAACTTTCGCATGTTTTTATGACTAATTCAATTTTTTCAAGTGCTTATATAACAGTTACCACACCTTATGATAAAATATGATAATTTATCATTATCTGCTTTCTTATCTTAAAAAAAACAGTAGACACAAACTTGCTTTATTAACTAGGTGTTGATGGCATTTTGCCATAAGTTTATGCTACTTGCCTTAAGGATTGGAATTATAAAATCACTAATATATTAACTGTAATATAAGTTATATTAATATATAAAAATAATAGACTATAAAAATATAGAGGACAAATATCAAAATAGACCAAAAACTAGAAAGAGTAAATCAAAAATCACTTATAAAATGGCCAAAGAGACTTTTATAAAAAATTAATTATTTAAACTTTTAAAATTTTGTTATATATGAAATTTATCTATGCAAATACATGAAAAATTGATTTAGATATGCACCTATTACATTATTTTTCATTCCATTATTTTTAAAAATAGTATTTGCTAAATTGAAATATTTTACTATAAATTTATTTATAAGCAAACAAATCAATGCTAATAGAAACTAAGCAAATTTCTTTTTAGAATTCAAAGAATCTTGTAAAATGGGTCCAAACATACAGCTCTCCGGAACACTCATTATTAAAAAAATACACTTTGGCACATTTTTATGACAAATATATTTTTTTCGAATGCTTATATAACTATTAGCACACCTTATGATAAAAAATGATAATTTATTATCTGCTTTCTTATCTTAAATTTAGTACCAAACTTTAATTCATTCAGTGTTTGATCACAAACTTGTTTTATTAAACTAGGTGTAGGTGGCATTTTGACTTAAGTTCATGCAACTTGCCTCAAGGTAAAATGCCACTCTTACAAATACTTATTTTATAGAGCCATACGTAATTTAATATTTCAGAATATACTTGATTTTTTTACGAAAGTTGCTAGTATAACGAATATAATAGTCAATGCACAACATTCTGCATTTTTGCCATGACGAGTTTATTCGTCAAAATTACCTGATTGAACATATTTCATTATGGTAAAGTACCTATTATAAAGTATTATCTGTCTTCTTATCGATTAAAAAATTTAGTAGTAAACTTTAGTTTATTTAGTGCATTGATAACAAACTAGATTACTTTATTAAATAATGTGTAGAAATTAGTTTACTCTATAAAAAATCCAGCTAATTGTTAGTTGGACGAACACACTCGTCTCGAGTATATTTGTCAAAAAAAATCAGAAATTTCAA